AATATATTGGTCCACTTCGTCTAGTACCTCCCCCACAATGGGTCAAAATTTTGAATATCCATGAAGCTCATAAAACGTGAAATTAACATCCCATTCCACACAGAATTGGCACATCTCAATATTTTCATCACCACAAGATATGTTATAAAGATGGTAGAGATCGGATCATACCTTCTGGTACCTCCCCCACAAAGGGTAAAAATTTGGAATAATTAAAGCTCTTATAAAATGTGATGTAAGTTTCCGATTGTCTTCAAATTACACACATCACAATGATTTTATTAAACGAAGGTCCGGTGTGAAGATGGAATATATCGGTCCACTCCTTCTGGTACCTCCCCCACAAAGGATCAACATTTTGAATATTCATGAAGTTCGGAATACATGAAATTAAAATCCGATTCCACTCAGACTTGGTACATCTCAATATTTTCATCAACGCAATATATTTTATAAAGATGGTAGAGATCGGACCATACCTTCTGGTACCTCCCACATAAGGGTTAAATGTTTTGAATAACCAAAACGATCATAAAATCCGAAATAAGCATCTGGTTCTCTTTAGATTTCACACATCGCAATATTTTATTGACCCAAGCTCGGGTGTGAAAATTTGGCAATATCGGTCCGCTTCTTCTGGTACCTTCCTCACAAAGGGTCAAAATTTTGAATATCCATGAAGCTCATAAAACGTGAAATTAACATCCGATTACATCCAAATTTGGTACAGCTCATTATTTCCATCAACACAAGAAATGTTATGAAGATGGTACAGATCGGACCATTTATTCTGGTACTCCCCCCACATAGGGTTCCAGATTTTGAAAAACGAAATCGATTATAAAATCCGAAATAAGCGTCCGATTCTTTTCATATTTCACACATCCCATTATTTCTACTAACACAAGACCTGATGTGAAGATGGGATATATCGGATCACTCCTTCTGGTACCTCCCCCACAAAGGATCAACATTTTGAGCATTCATGAAGCTCATAAAACGCGAAATTAACATCCGATTCCGAAATAACCAATGTAGTCCAACTCTGCACGTCGCAGTATTTATATCATATTTATTAAGGTCGGATACGAAATTTACAATATTGGCCCATTCCTTCGGAAACTACTCGAATTTGAAGAATCATAGGAGAAGTCAAAATATATTTAAATAATAGAACATTGGCTGGTGGCAAAACCGACTCATACTTTTTAGCTTTTTTTAAAGCCCATTGAAGGTCTCCTTTTTATGGAATGTCTGGTTTTCATGGGAGTTCTCTCGAGGATCTCTTAAAGTCTACTTCCAAAGGTCTCCTCATTTTTTTTTTTTTTTTTTTTTTGAATATAGATGGAAGTCGATTCTTATTGTGCGAAGAAAATTCAATTTTTTACTGGACTAAATTTTATTTTGTTTATTTATTTATTTTTTTTTTTAAATCCAGGTGAATTGGTAGTGCTTTAAAAAAATATTTTCTACATCCACTTCGATTTTAGTCCTTAAAAAAAAAAAACATTAAAAGCAACCAGGCTAATCTTGGTAAAGAGAAAAATATTTTAATAGTCGTCTTTTTTAAATCCAGGTTGATAGTATTTTATTATTTGTTTCTTCATTTGTTTGTACCAAGAATCAATTATTTAACAAAGAATCAATTATTTAACATTGGTTCCCTTGTGTGTATACGTATTGCCGTAACGTATACGTCACCCCCATTTGTTTACTCTCTGCAATTCGTGATTAGAAAATGCTTCCAACGTCATTGCATTTTCTTCCTAATTTGAATTATTAATTATTATCTGGTAATTTATTCTCCCCCCTCTCTCCCATTTTTCGTTTTTTTCAGTGTAAATACTGCACCCGAATACTTACACAACATTGCAAAATTCTCCCTACCTCGAATTTTCGATTCTCATTTAGCCCTGACATTTACGAAAGACAATAGCAGTTGACTCGGTTTTGTTTTTTGTTACGGATGCACACTCTTGCCAGTAAACTATGAAGTTAACTAGTTTCTGTTTTCATTTCCATCCACCCACCTCTTTGTAAAATTTTGTCTCCAACAAAAATGTTTTTATTTTCAAAATTGAATGCATTTCCTTGTTTGTTTTGCAATGTTGCCAACTCTCCCTTACTCCCCCCCCCCCCCCCCCCCCCAAAAAAAAAAATTTACTTGTTTTCCATTTCATTTTCAAATCTTCCCACCGAGCAAACCAACCAGTCATTTAACATACTCACCTCTTCATTGCTCTATCTCCCACCCTCTTTGTTTCATTCTCTCCCTAATACAAAAAAAAAAAAAACACAACTGCACATGCATGCACCTCCTCTCCTTCTCATTCCCATTGGCACCGTAATAAAAGGAATTGTGGGGAATAAGTTTTGTTGTTGTACCCTGCGGCTCCTCTTCTATGATAGCATTTCCATGACTCTCTGGCAATGCAATGTTAAAGTTTTGACTCTCCACTTTTTTGTGTTATTGTTGTTGCTGCCTTCTGCTTGTTGATAATGACGTTGGCAGTTGGCCTGGGTGTGTTGTTGCTGTGCTCTGCTACTGCTGTCGTGATTTAATGACGTAGTTATTTACATAAACTTACATACATAGCAGTTAAATACATAAACATGTACACATATATATTTACGTGATTTCTTTGGTTTATCTCTCAGGGGAAATGTTCTTTCTCAGTGAATAAATTTGAGTGTGAAAGAGCAATTACGGCTGTTGTTGGGGTGTGTGCCTTTGTTCTGTGTGGAGTAGATTTACTCTTCACATTGACTGAGAAATAAGAGACATTTCTAAAGAGTTGGTAAATTAGGGATGCCATGCTTTTAATGAATTGCAGCATTTAAATAAGAAAATAAAAATAAATTGAAAATTCAAAAATTTAGCAATTAAATAATTAGTTAATGTTTAATATAATAAATTAAAAACATTAAAGTACAAAATAATAAATATTTAAATATATATTAAAATAATTAATAATATTTTAAAATAAAAAAAAAACAATATTATAAAATAAAAAAAAAATAAAAAAACTAAAATAAAAATAAAAAAACAACAACAAAACAAAAAATAAATAAAATACAAAAATAAAATAAATAGAAATTAAAAATAAAAAATGAATTATTAATTACATTAAAAAAAATAATTATTAATTAAAAAAATAAAATAATTAGTAAAAAAATATGCAAATAATGAAAATATATAAAACATAATGAATAAAAAATGAAATTATAATTTAAAATAATAAAAAATTAAAAAATAAAATATAAAAGTAAAATATATTTATAAAAAATAAAAAAAGAGAAAAAAATTAAAAATATAATAAAAATCAATAAAATTATAAACATAAAAGTAACAAATAAATAATAAAAATTAAATAAAAGAAAGAAATTAAATTAAAATTAAAAAAAAAATAAAATCATAAATAAAAAAAAATATTAAAAAATGTGTAAATAATGAAAAAAATTTAATAAATTATGAATAAGAAATGAAATAATAATTAAAATAATAAAACAAATTAAAAAAAAACAGACATATATAATAAATATATTAATTATACACATTGAAACAAGGAATAAAAATTAAAGTAAAGTAACAAATAAATAATAAAAAATAAAAATTAAATAAAAGATAAAAATAAAATAAAAAATAGAAATAAAATAAAAGAAATATGAAAAAAATGAAGTCATAATTAAAAATAATAAACTAAAAAATAACAAATATATAATAAATATATAAATTATAAAAAATAAAATAATGGACAAAAAATAATGTATTAATAAAAATTAATAAAATTATAAATATAAGAAGTAATAAATAACGAAAAAATTTAAAAAATAAAATAAAAACGAACAGAACATAAATAAATAATAAAAATGAAATTAAAAACAAAAAATTAATTATAAATTAAAATAAGAAAAAAATATTAAATAAAAAAATTAAGTAAAAACATGTAATAATAAAAAAATGTAAAAAATAATGAATAAAAAATTAATTTATATTTAAAAATAATTAAAAATTAAAAATAACAAATATATAACAAATATATTAATTATAAACAATAAAATAATTGATAAAAATTAAAGTAAACGTTAAGTAACAAATAAGTAATAAAAAATAAAAATTAAATAAAAGATAGAAATAAAATAAAAAATAGAAATAAAATAAAAATTATGAAAAAAATGAAATTATAATTAAAAATAATAAAAATTGAATAGTAACAAATATATAATAAACGCATTAATTATAAATAATAAAATAATGGATAAAAATACTGTATTAATAAAAATTAATAAAAATATAAATATAAAAAGTAATAATTAACGAGAAAATTAAAAAAAAATAAATAAAAAAGATCAGAAGAAAAATAAAAATTAAATTAAAAACAATAAATTAATTATAAATTAAAATTAAAAAAAAAAAAATAAAATCATAAATAAAAAAAATATTAAAAAATGTGTAAATAATGAAAAAATGTAAAAAATTGTGAATAAGAAATGAAATAATAATTAAAATAATAAAAAAATTAAAAAAACATATGTGATAAATATAATAATTATAAAAAATAAAATAATGGATAAAAATTAGAGTGAAGTAAACAATAAAGTAACGGATAAACATTAAAGTAAAGTTCAAATAAATAATAAAAAAATAAAAATTAGATAACAGATAAAAATTAAATAAAAAATAGAAATAAAATAAAAAAATATAAAAAAAATGAAATTACAAATAAAAATAAATTAAAAAATAACAAATATATAATAAAAATATTAATTATAAAATAAAATATTGAATAAAAAATAGTGTATTAATATAAATTAATAAATTAAAAAAAATTGAAATTAAAAACAAAAAATTAATTATAAATCAAAATTTAAAAAAAAATAAAAAATAGTAAAAAAATGTGTAAATAATGGGAAAAAAATTATAAATTATTAATAAGAAATGAATTTATAATTAAAAATAAAAAAACAAACATATATAATAAATATATTAATTATAAAAAATATAAAATTATTAAACTAAAATTACAAAAATGTGCACAGAATAAGTCTTCAATTCAAATATAGTTTATATGTTTAAACTTTATTTTTATTACCTTGCACCGTTGGACATTTCTAGATTTTTCTGATTTAACCAGTAAAACTGATCCCCCGGTTTATTATAATCAAATAAATATACGTCAAGAACCGAATATTTCGGGTTTTCTAAATTTATAATGTGAAAGGTAAACATATTTGGGGACTACGTTTTCGCAAAGGCATTTTAAGAGTAAATATGGGAATATGAACTCTTATTTTTTTATCTCCACAGTAAATAATCATGAGACCTATCTGTGTGGGGATTTCTTTGTTTGTTGCTGAGGGTAAATAAATGATTCCCATGACTTCCACTCTTTGGCTCTCTCTCACCGCAACTTCTCATCTCTCCTCTTTGCATCTCTTAATTTCATATAAATGGTTGGCTGGTTGAACTGTTTTTTTCTTTGTATTTTACTTGCTTAAGTTTTATGTATGGTGGGACGCGAGAGTGTATATAAGAGAGAAAGAGAGCACTCTACGTGGTTGTGGCTATGCTTTGCCAGACCAAACTGTGCCTGTGTATTTTTGCAAAAGGCTTGTTGGCTAAAATCATGAAAATCGAATCGTCAGTCTACATCAAATGATGAAACTGTGCTCATCTTGCAGAAGCTCTAATCTGCTAAATATTGTGATTGATCAACGTCTTAGAATTGACACCTGTCGATATCTTATCGAGATACTATCGCGTCGTATAACGGGCGAATAAAGCCGCGGAACTAACTTAATTTAGTGGGCAAAAAAAAAAAATAAATAATTTTTTTGTTGGCTAATTGTTGAAGAAATCGGTTATCAAGTTTTAAATACAACAAAAACAGCAACACCAGCAACAGCACAAATCAAACTCACACAAAACACTTTTGGAATATACCGAAGAACGCGAAGAAGAAGAAGCAGCAGCAACTCTGAACATATAGCGAAGACGACAACGACCAGTCGAGTACGTCGGAATATAAAAACAAAAGCAAAGTGAAGGAATTGAAAGTATTATTCCGTGTATAGATTGTGAACCGCAAAAAAAAGAAAGAAAGAAGCAAAAAAAAAAAACAAACGGCTAAAGCGTTAACCTAACGACAAGCGGTGAGTGCGTCATACGGCCACTTGAATAGAATTGTTTGGAATTCTAAAAAAAAACAGAAAAAAATCGAACAAAAATTGGAGCCAAAAAAAGTGAAATTGGAAATTAATTAATAAAACACATATAGCAACAAGTAAAAAAACATATTTTTATTGAAAAATTACATTCAATTAAAAAATAATAAAATTGGAAATTGAAAGAAATTAAATCTGCAATAAAAAGTAAAAAAGTAATTATTATTTAAAATTTATTTTCATTTAAAATTAATAACATTAAAAATAATAATAAAATAATAAATAATAAAAAAACATCCACATAAAAATAATAAAAAAACATAATTTCTACTTAAAAATAAATATTTTTAATTAAAAAAAAACCAAAAGTAAATATCTACACAATTTTAAAAGAAAGAATTTTAAATTGGAAAAAAGTTTTAATTATCAACAAAATATTTTTTTAAAAAACATCCAAAACTCAAAACTCCTGAGAAATTTTTAAAATTTATTGGGAAAAACATAATATTTTAAATCAAAATTAAGGTGTACAAAATTTTAATCTATAAAATAGTGAATCAAATAAATAAAAATAATATTTTAAAATTATTATTATTTTTCAATCAACACACAAACAATTGACTTCCTCACAGAAATTGTTTATTTTTATGTTTTATTCGCATTTTTGGTTTGATTTTTTTTACAAAACAACAACAAATAACAAAAGGTAATTAATTGCAAAACTTTTTTTGAATAAAAAAATACAAAATTCTTACGAAAATAAGTCAAATTTGAAAAAAAAATATTTTTCGTTGGATTATACACCCCACCCACAATGAAAACTATAAATACAAATATATAAAAATAATTCAAAAAAAAAAAAAATAAATAAATAAATAAATAAATAAACAAATTCACAATTTTAATAAAAAAGGGAAAATTTTAAATTCCAACATTATTTGTTAAACCCTACAGAGGGATATATCATATGATACGCCCAAAACGTGCCTTATCCAAATAACGCTTTAATGCCCCAGGTCTCTTTGGACCAAATCCGTTTCAGGACATTTGATACCCATTTGTCCATCCGTCCGCCTGTCTCTAACTCTCGAAGGGAGTATCTGATTTGGTCCAAACTTGGTAAATCGTAATATTATTATCAAACTTAGATCGAGTTTTGAGATGGGAAATATTGGACCACTCCTTCTGGTACCCCACAAAATGTCGAAATTTTCAAAAAAAAAAAAAAAAAAATAAAATAAAAATAAAAAAAAAAATAATAATAAAATAATTAAAAAAGGTTAATCCGATTTTTCTTCAACTTTGCAAATCCTAATATTTGCATCAGTGCCAGTGTAAAAATTTTTAATATTTATTACTTATTGTGATGTAAGAATCCGATTGTCTTCAAATGACACACATCACAATATTTTTATTAACCCACGGTTTGATGTGAAGATCCCACAAAATGTCGAATATTTTCAAAAAGAATTTTAACCTGCACAGAAAGACAAAGGAAAATCCGATTTTGCACCAACTTTGTAATATCGGTCCATTCCTTTTAGTACCTACCCCAAAAGGGTCAAAATGTTGAATATCCATGAAGCTCATAAAACACGAAATTAACATCCGATACCATTCAGACTTCGCACATCCCAATATTTCTATCAACACAACGTGTGTAGTAAAGATGATAGAGATCGGAACATTTATTCTGGCATCTCCCCACAACGGGTCAACATTTTTAAATAATTATAACCCTCATAAAATGCGGAATAAGCATCCGATTCTCTTCAAATTTTACACATCCCAATATTTTTACCGATACGAGGTCTGCTGAGAAGATGGAATATAATAGTCCAACCCTTATGATACCTCCCCCACAAAAGGTGTTAGAATTATTTCTGATTTCCGGCTCAATATTTTTGAATAATTATAACTCTCATAAAATGGGAAATAAGCATCCGATTTTCTTGAAATTTTATACATCCCACTATATGTTCCAACACATGATCTGGTGTGCAGATGATGGCTATGAATAAGGGCTCAACATTTTGAATAACCAGAATGCTCATAAAATGAAAATAAATAAATAAGTACCTGATTCTTTTTAAACACACTCCAATATTTCTACTAACACAAGATCTGGAATGAAGTTGCGATATATTCCAAAATATCTATATATACATATATTTCAAAATCTGGAAAATCCCTCAAATCGGGGATGGGTTTCTATTGTAGCTATATCAAAAATGAGAATTTGTTTAGAATTTGTGGCCTATCAATTTGTTACCCTATCCCAAACCTGAATGGTAAATTTCAGCAAAATTGATTGTAAAATGGTGAAAACCATGTTTTATAGGAGTTATATAAAATTGTGGACCCATATTAAAATATTTTTGCATGGTACTAATTAAGAACACCAGACCTCAAATTTAAATCTGCAAAAATGGAAAATTTATGGAAAATATTGTCCCACTCCTTCGGAACATATTTAGTTTTTAATTCACATCACATTTTTAGATTTTTTTTTTATTTAAATGTTGTAATTTTCCTATATTTTCTATTTGTATTTAGGAAATGTGCATTTCTTAAAAATATTGAAAAAAACTGAAATCATAATTTTCCGTTGTCAGCACCGCCTTTATATCACTCTCTTCTCCATTATCTAATCCCCAAAATGAATTTTCATTATTTTCTTATTTTTAGTTTTTTTTTGTTATTATTTTAGTTTTTTTTTTTTTTCACTTCTCCTCCTTCTTTTCAAAGTGAAAGTTTTTTTCTGTAGTATGTTTGCGGTTTTTTGTTGTTTTTTTTTTTTATTTTCACACACAAACAAGACATCATTAGTTTTTCACATCGTTTAGTTTTGGGTTTTCCATACTTTTGAGTTGACTTTTTTTCTTCCTCTTTTTCTTTTTCGGTTTTCATGTGGAAACTGGACAGTTTTGTTTTTTTATAATTTCCTGTTGTAGGATGTATGTATGTATTATGGAGAAGATAATAAGAATTGAGGAAGCATAGAAAAAGGATTATAATTGGTAATGGGATTAATTGGAATTTTAAAACTATCAAAGGGAAATTCCCCTGTTGGGAGAATGAAATTTGGAAACTGTATTACGTTGGGCGCCAGAGGGACATATTTGAATTAACAATAAAGAAATATTTTAGTGAATTGAGTTATTAAAGAGAATGATTTATTTTTGAGGGCTAGACTATTAAAATTAAGAAACCGGGTGTTGCTATTTATAAATCGAGACTAGCAAGGCAAAACTGCTTGTCATGTAACCTAATAATTCGAAAAATAAAAAAAAATGTTCTGTAGAAAAAAAAAAATGCGTAAAAGCCCGTCCTCAAGAAATGGTCCGTGACTGGCCTTTCAAATTTCTTTAAAAAAAACCCGGAAACTAGATTTCAATACTTACTTCGAGAGTAATTGTGCGCAACAGCCAGACGGACGGGCCGTCGGACACCCTTAGATTGACTCCAAATATTCTGAAACGGATTTGGTCTAAAGAGACCTAGGGTCTGAAACCGTTATTTCGATGAGGGCGTCTTAGTCGTATCAAATGATTTATATGTTTTTCGACAAAAATTATTTCAAATTCGGTATTGAAGTTCGTATTGGGTATCAATTTCTGTGACAGGAAATTACCTATATATCCCCCCATTTAATGGTACCTTTCGATATTCCCTTTCCCCCTTTTATAGCCACATTTTTAACGGAATTATTTCTAAATTGTTCGTCCGATATTCTTTATTTGACGATTTAAGTAGCGTTTATTCAGCAGATTTTCTTTTGAAATTTAGCAACTTTCTTTCAAATTGTGAAGTGTATTGAAAGTTCGACCCGGCTGAACTTTTTAAAAAAATAATAAAATTAAAACATTTGTGGATCAATTTTCGGGATTTCAATCCTTTTTATACCCTACACCACATAGTTGTAAGGGTATTATGTCTTTGCGAATTTATTGTAACTTAGAGAAGGAAGCGAGATAGACCCATAGTTACTTTTGAAGATTTTGATAGAATCACTTTCTGAGTCGATTCGCCTTTCCGTCCGTCTGTCTGTCCATGTATTTTTGTGAACAAAATGCAGGTCGCATTTATTATCCGATTGAGATGATATTTTCCGAAATTATTTGTTTGGTCCAAGGACGAAACCTATTGAAATTAGTTAGAATCGGTTCAAGTTCAGATATAGCTCTCATATCTTCAACCGATTTCAGGTTAATTTTGCTCCAAATGGACTGAATTTTGGCAATTCCGACTCAATTCATCCTAGAAACAAGTACTTCAAATACAGTGAGAATCGGCTCAGATAGCTTCCATTTATATGTTTCATCCGATTTGTGGTTTTAAGTATCTCACATGCGTATTATGCACTTCACAACAATAGTCTTTAGTACTAGATATCAGATACCGCTCAGAAATAAGTGCCTAGAATTTTGTCAAGATCGGTTCAGATTTGGATATAGCTCCCATATATATCTTTATCCGATTTCAGATTCTTTTGTGCACCAAATGACTAATATCAGTCCAAATGACCTGAATTTCGGCACATCCGACCGAAATCATTCTAGAAGCAAGTACATCAAAATTAGTGAAAATCGGTTCAGATATAGCTATAGCTCCCATATATATGTTTGCTTCGATTTGGGGTTTAAAGTCCCTCACATGCGTAATATGCACTCCACAACAATAATCTTTGGTATCAGGTATTAGATACAGCTCAGAAATAAGCTCCCATATATTTTTTTATCCGATATCGGGTTACTTGTGCACCAAATGACTAATATCAGCCTGAATGCAAATGGACTGAATTTTGGCAATTCCGACTAAATTCGTCCTAGAAACAAGTACTTCAAATGTAGTGAAAATCGGCCCAGATATAGCTATTGCTCCCGTATATATGTTTGATCCGATCCTTCACATGCATAATATGTACTCCACAACAATGATATTTGATACAGGGCATCA